GCCCAATCCACAAAAGGAACAATCGATAAACTGGACTTTATTAACATTAAAAATGCTGGTTCTTTCACAGACCAGGTGAGGAGTATGAAAAGACAAGCTACTGACTAGGAGAAAACATCTGCAAACCACACATCTGACAAAGAACTAGAATGTATCTAGAATATATAAAAGCTCTACAGTGAAAGAACAATCCAGACTATGAGCAAAAGATATGAAGAGATATTTCACTGAAGAAGATACACAAATGGCAAATGCGCGTGAAAAGATGCTTAACATCGTCAGCCGTTAGGAAGCGCACTGAGATACAGCTCTACACACTGTCAGAATGGCTGAAGTTAAAAACACCAAATACCAGTGAGGATGCAGAAAAACTAGATTATTCATACACTGCTGGCGGGGATGCAAAAGAATACCGGCCTCTGGAAAAGCATTAATTTCTTAGAGAGCTAAACACGCAACTACTATACAACCCAGAAATTGCACTCTTGAGCATTTAACCCAGAGAAATGAAAACTCACATTTGCACAAAACCTGCCCACAAATGTGCAGAGCAACTTTATTCCTGATAACCCTGAACAGAGACAACACAGATGTCCTTTAACAGGTGAGTATTAAACACTGTAGTCCGCCCACACCTGGAGCACCACTCAGCAATAGAAAGGAAGAAACTGCTGACACACAGAATAATCTGGACGCATCTCCAGAGTATTATGCTGAGTGAAAAATAGCCAATACCCGAAAGTCACGTAGGGTACGGTTTCATCTGTATAACATTCTTGAAATGCCAAAATTATCAACGCGGCACAAAGATTAGTGGCTACCAGGCGTGAAGGCAGGAGAGAAGTGGGCGTGGCTATAAAAGAGCAGCGCAACATCCCTTGTGATGGAACGTCCTGTGCCTTGACTGTAGCAGAGTCACTGCCCTGGTTCCGGCAGCTACTAGCTCTGCAGGCTGTTACCGTTACAGGAAAAGGGCAAAGCATACAAGGGCTCTCTCTGCATTATTTCTTACAACTGCATTTGAACCTACAATCACCTCAAAAGAAAGTTTCATTTAAAAAAAAAAAAAAGCCAATTCCCACATCTCCCTGCACTTACCTCCTCTTGCCCTCCTCCACTTCACAGGGACACCCCCTGAACGAGATGACTATACTTGACGTCCTCACTTCCATACCTCCTGCCTTTAACTTATACATTCCAAGGTTTTATCCCCACTGCCGAAACGCTCTTGTCTAGTTTACCAACAGCGCCTGCGACCTCTCAGCAACAGCTGATCTGGTCAGTCACTTTCTGGAAACTCTCTTTGCTCCGCTCCCAAGACGCAGCACACTTGCAGTGCTGTCCCTACTCCCCGCAAGTCCCCGCCTCGCTCTGGCTCCTTCTTTCCTACTTGGTTTCTGAATGTTGGAATTCTCCTGACAGCCAAAGGTTCAGACAAGGCTCCGTCTGTAGCCTTCTTTGCTTCTCCATCCACACAGCCACACCCAAGCGATATCCTCTCCCATAATTTTAAGCATCATCCATGACTTCAAACTTGCACCCTCAGCCCTGCTGTCCCCCCTGAACCCCCTCTCATACACCCAACTGTACACTCAGCATCTCCACTTGGATGAAACAGTTGTCCAAGGCTTCCCAGGGCCAAAGCAGGGTTCTCAGTTGCCACCATGACGCTCCGCTAAAACAAAAATCCGCAGTTACCTTGCTCCCCATTCTCCCCTTCTCAATAAAAGGCACCACCTTTCCCAACGGCTCCAGTCACACTATCTTTGATTCTTCTTTCTTTCACATTAAACATCACATCCAACCAACGAGCAGGTTGTGTCTGCACTAACTTCAAAATGGAGCCTGTGCACTTACGTATCTGAACGCGCCTTCCTCAGATCTTTACGAAACTAGTGCAATGAACAGAGGCAGAACCACATGTATGTAACCATAAGCCCACATTATTTACCTCCTACGGTTCCTCTTGTCAACTACAAATTGACACTCGCCATTGTCACTTGCCAGCTGCCTCTACAAGGATTAAATCATGTGCTGCTGCAGCTGCTGACTTTCAACACCCCCTGAAAGGAGTTCAGGTGGAGAGCTGAACTGAGGCACTCTGGGCTCTGGGTAAAACTGGCAGAACAGATCTTCCGATAGATGGAGATTTTCAGGAGACAATTTTATGAGCCCAATTCTTGTATCTCCTCGTATCTAGACAAGCACTCAAATCCTTCATGGCGACGTCTGCTCCTCATGACTGGCAGTGACATGCACGAGACGAGCAGAAACCTTCCACAAGAAATATGTGCTTGATTGCATGTACTCCCCCTTCACCCAAATCACATCTATACTGACCTTCCTCCCTGCCTCTGTGGAGCAGTTTCTCAGAGCGATCTGGGGTGCTGTCTCCCGGGTTGCAGTCCTCATTTTGCCCCAAATAAAACTTAACTCGCAGCTCTCACGTTGTGCAATTTTTTAAGTCGACACTGAACGTAGACATAGCCCGGGATGAAGATGTGGATCGGTCCTGTGACTGTTCTGATAACTCTGGGTAATAGAAAATTCTACAGCCACCTCAAGTATAAAACACAGTTAAGGGTCCCGGCCCCGCTGACGTGCTTCACACTGAGAATATCTTCTCTCCTCAGCTGGCCCGCACAGCTGGCTGTTCTCAAAGGGAGAGGACGGTGTGGCCCCCTCTGCTCCCGACGCCACACACTCTTCCTCCTTCCTGGGTCACCGACCCCAACGCTATCGAAGCCAGGCGGCACTGCTGTGTGCTCAGACCTCTCAGACGTGGCGGCACTGCTGTGTGCTCTTCCAGGACCCCATCTGACCACGCTTTTCAAAACCCAGACAGACCATTTCTCCTCCAGGCTGAGGACCCACCCGCCCACCACCGCCAGTGTTTTAGCAGTCGGTCTTTGAGTCTCTCGAGACCCCCCCCCCTCATTCCCTCCAGCCAGGATTTAAAAGGGTCCTGGCTTCTCCCCAGACTGCAGAGGTGCTCACCCGCCCCACCAGCCCCGCTGCGGCAGGCCTATGGCTCCGGCCCTTGAAGGCACGTCGCTCGGGCTCCATCAGGGAGCACATGTCTGAGGGGACCACGAACGTCCCTCTCACTGGGCGGGGGGAGTGGCAGGCTCACCCTCCAAGGAATCCTCTTCCAAAGTCCTGTCTGACCTCCTGCAACCAGCCCTGTTGTCCCTCAGTGTGGAGGATGCATCCAACAGTTCTTGGCCAGAGGCTCTGGGCACCAGCCTCACGACCCACGCCCATCACTGCGTTGCCCGTCACTGTGTCCCGGTGCCCCGCCGCCAGACTCCGCGGCACCATGCCATTGCGTCTGCCCGTCTGGCTTCCAGACCCCACCAGGCCTTGCTTTCCCAGCGCCCCCTGACCTGTCGCCCCTGCCCCTCGTCCGCCTGTGTTTTCTTCACAGCAGCTTGCCATTGCCAGGCCCTTATTTACTGAAGGCCTCCTTCTGCACCCAGTGGGTCCCCTGGAAATATGTGTCGGGTGAGCCTCTGTGGCCCTTCCTGACCGGCACCTCCTGCCCCGAGGTCTGGCTCCTGCCCACCCCTCCCCTGGGGGCACAGGCCTACCAGGCTGAGTCACCTGGCCAAGCCCCACGGCACGAAGGGCGCTCGGGCGCCCTGGCAGGGACGTGGCCCGCTCCAGCTGTTCTGAGGGCCCGTCTTTGTGCAAGTTGCTCCCGGATTGGCTGTAGGGAGAGAACAGCCAAGCTCCTTGTCACCGCCCTTGTCTCCATTCCTCTTTTCCTCGATCACACGAGACCGTCACCAGATGCAACTCCCGCTCCAAGGAGGGCTCTGGCTCAGTGGGCCTCAGGCTGGCTTTTCCTTAACTCGCCCTCTGCCATCTGCCTGCTCAGCCAGCACTTACCGAGCGCCTGCTGGATTTCCAGCCCTGAGACCCACAGGGGCGGAGAGCAGAGGGCCCCAGGCTACCCCTTTCCTCCTGCCCACCTTCAAGCCAGAAGCGTGGGGCTGCTCCAGGGGCTGGTGGCCCAAGCCCCACCCTCGGCGCACAAGTGGCAGGTTCAAAGGGAAGTGGCTCACACTCTAGGGCCCCGTCCGCAGCCCCCAAGCACAACACACCCTCCCGTCCGCAGCCCCCGAGCACAACACACACTCAGCTGCCAAGACGCAGCAGTCCGCCAGCCAGACCTTCCAACATTCCTGTTTCAAGTGCACCTTCTTTCTCTGCTTCCACTAACTTAATTATTTTCATGCCCACAGCTCACAGGACTCTAGGGGGTAGAAGGTAGCTCTGCAGGAGTGAGGGGGTCATCACATAAAAAACAGAGAGAGAGGTCTGCCCAGGAGTCAATGGCAGGTCCCCCAAGAAGAGCCGCAGGTGGAGGGGAGGCGGGAGTGAGACGGGTCACCAGGAAGCCCCCGAGGGCCCTACACCCAACTTCTGTCACAGGCACCAACCCCCAGACTGCCCTACACTGCTGGGACGGGCTAGCATCCTAATGACAGGGAACACTGGAGGAAAGAGAACCAGGTAGACTTAGTGGGAAGGAAACAAAGGTACACG